ACATTTTATTGATAAGATACACAGCAGTTTCAAAGGCATAATCCCATAAACGAGACGGAACAGAGGATTGGGCCATTAGCGCCAATCCCGTTTCGACAACATGGCGATGCTTGCGTTCTACTCTGCCGTTTTGTTCATGAGTATACGCACAGGACTGCCTGTGACGAATACCCAATGACGCGAGAGTCGAACCAAGCTTTTTGTATTCTCCCCCTAACTCAAACTGAAAAGACAGAATTTTACGAGAGAATGAACATTCAACAAGTGACCGAAACTTATCAAATATCGCATATAAATCAGACTTAGCTCGCATAGGATAATACCACACGTAACGAGTGTAATCATCCATAAATAATACAAAATATTTAAAGTCATTTGCAGAAAGTATCGGCGCAGGGCCCCAAATATCTGAATATATTAATTCTAAAGGATGCGAACTAGTACATTCAACACGCGATAAAGGAAAACGAGACGACTTGCCTAATTGACAAGAGGAACAAATATTGGGCAGATCACTGGAATTAAACGAACTAAGACTAGAAGAGGCTAAAACTTGACGCAGGACCCGAGAGTGTGGATGCCCAAGCCGCATATGCCAAACGAAAGAGGACCGTGCAGCAACGAAAGCAGCGGGAGCCGGACGCGAGGCAGGCAAGGCATATAAACCCCCGAACGCATGCCCCTTAAAAATAGTGTTCCTGGTTTGAATGTCCTTCACAAAGAAACACGAAGGGTGAAACTAAAAAAAGACATTATTTTCTTTAGCAAAACGCTGAATAGATAATAACAAAGAAGATAAACCAGGAACATGCAAGACATCAGACATACGAAACAACCTAGAATTAATGGCTAATGAAGTAGAACCAACAGTAACAATAGGCAAACCTGTACCATTGCCGACCCGAAGTGTCTCCGGACCATCATATGTAGTAAAGGACGTCAATAAGGTGGGATCATGGGTAGCATAACTTGTGGCACCAGTCGGGGAACCACTAATGAGAGTTGTCCATAGAACCATCAACAACAGAAACGACAACATTCGCCTGAGGATCTGGATCAGGAGTGAAACGACGCCAACACGCCGTAGCTATATGCCTTTGCTTGTTGCAAATCTGACACCAAGGGCCTGAGTTGGACCGCCCCCGGCCACGACCTCGGTTTTGCGGACTGCCACCGCGGCCGCCGTGACCCCCACGGCTTACGGCCAAGGTCGCCGGTGCACCGATAGCCGCGCCGTCATCCGAACAGATCCACTCCTGCGAAACAAGAAAATCCGCAACCTCCGGGAGGGGAACGGGAGCACCACGGGCTAGGGTTGCCACCAACGGTCGAAACTCCGGGCGCAAACCCCACGAAACACGTACAAATTCTGATCATCCAACTCAACGTGACGACCAGTGAGAGCCAGTTCATTAATCAACATCTGAGCGCGACCAAGGTAATCAGATATGGAGGAGTCTCCTTGGCGGAGCCCTTGTAGTTCGCCGAGCAGCTAGAGAGCGCGAGAGCGAGTGGAGGATCCTAGGGTTTGTTCGATCACCTGCCAAAGCTGCCGAGAAGTACCCTTGCCGACGGCGAAACGAAGGGTCTCCTCGGACAAGGAAGAGATGAGCATGGAGAGGATGTCTTTGTCTTGCCGACGCCATGCGAGCTGTCGCGTCGGGAGATCGGAAGTCACCGCCGGAGCGCTGTCCGCGGTCGACGCTAGCGCCGGTGACTCCGTTGGAAAGGGCGTAAAACCATCAACAAACCCTAGAAGCCCTTGGCCTTCAAGAAACGGAAGCATCTGAGTCCGCCAGAACAAATAGTTCCGGGAGGTTAACTTTAAGGAAACGAAGTGGTGAGCCGATGAAAGGCTACCACTCGCAGGCACCGAAGGAATCTCGGTAACGGTCCGTTCAGAGGAACCAAGAATAGAGCCGTCATTAACACCGACGTTTTCCATAGGAGAAAACCTAGCTGATACCAGATGAGAATATATTTTCTGTGTATTGATCAAGAGCATCGGATACAAAGTATATAAAGACATGAAATAGAGATCTAGTCTAATACTACTAATATAATAGAGATAAAGTCTAATACTGCTAGTAGAGTCCTAATACTATGAGTACTTGATTTTTTGGTCTCTACTCTCTAGAGAGTTATGTTGTCGCTAATTTAGAGGACCAGAGCTATTTCAAAGGCGAGTGACTCGAGAGGTTGCCCTTACTAGTTTAGCATGTATGCACAATAGTTGACTTCCAGTCACACTTTTGTATTTATAGGCCTGGAAAACATTTTTTATGAGTGCACGACCCAAGCTATCATCACGACTCCCTAATCAAGGATTACCATGAGAATCCTCATAGCGAATGTTTTTTTCACAATTTTTGAAGTGCCACTAGAAAAAAGAGAGGAAGGCAAGGGAAAAAAAGAAGAAGAAAAAAAGGTTTGACAACATATAAATAAAATGAAAAACAAGTGACAAACGCACTGTGTAAGTGCATGCTATGCACACGTCTACTGAGCACGACTTTTGCGCTTCATGTGTAAAGTTATGACTTTGTTAGCCCTTTTCTCTCACCTGGTGGGTCTCAATAAAAACATCATTTGCAAGACAAAAAATCACTAAAAAACCAATCTCTATATTTGTTAAAAATCAATCCTTTAATTTGTTAGGGAAATTCTATTTACACCACCTATTTAGTAGGTCAAATAGCCTTATAGGTGGTGTAAATGCAAATTTACTATTTACACCACCAGCATTAAATATGGTCAAAGATTATTATTTGTTTTTTAATTTTTTTTAAATTAAAAATATTAAAATTAAAAAAAAAAAAACCCCGTCACCTTCTCCGGTGAGAAGGCAACTTAGTGGGTTGTTTTTAAAAAAAAAAAAAGAAGGAAACCATCACCTTCTCCGGTGAGAAGGCAACCCAGGGGTCGCTTTCTCACCGGAGAAGGCGACCCATGTAGCCTTCTCCGATGAGAAGGCACCGGAGAAGGCGGGATTTTTTTTTTTAAAATTTTGTATTAATTAACTATTATTTAAACCTAATAAATGTGATTTAATTAAGGTGGTACAAATAACATTTTGACCACTCATTAGACTATTTGCACCACCTATGTATTTATTATAAATTTTTAACTTTTTATATTTTCAATGTACTTTTTACTCCATTTTAATTAAATGGGATGCAAATAGCAACACCCATTTGTTATTGTTGAATGAAAAGTGCACTAGGTAGATTATTGGCAATAAAAAAAGACGGGGGCCAATAAAGAGCCGTTATATGCAGCCTCCCTAGCAATCATACTGGCAACGACCTCCAATTCAACACTAGAGAGCTACGACTTTATTCTCTTGAAGAGGCTTCTCGACAATCGTGAGATTTTTGACTTTATACTATTTATTCCCTTTCAATTTCCATGTATACCAAATATTGGAATTGAAATTCCCAGTAATTCTATTCCTATAAACCAAACACTGGAATTTGAATTCCACTTTATTCACAATAATTCATCCCCCATAGAATTGCAATTCCTTTCCCACGTAATTCTCCATCTCTAACCAAACGCTCTGTAAAAGTTATTGAATCATTTGCTTCCTTTGAACTTTTCATAGATTTTTTTTTTTCAAGTTTCTAATATCCTTACCATATGCAAACAAATATTATTATGTCACTGCTATGGTTTGTTTGAACTTTCCATACAATGTTTTTATTCTTTTTAAAAATTATTTTCAATATGTCCTTATCGCATGCATACAAAAAGTTATGTCACTGCAACTAAATTATACTTAGATAGGACACAAGTAATAATGGAGAACACATGAAAGAACGCTAAAAAAATATATTTATTTCTAATCTCTAGCAGCTTCTTCTCTTCTAGTTGAACTATCACCTTTCTTCTCTGATAAATAATAAGTAATTAGACAATTTTTAGTTTTTTTTTTTTTACACATTTCTTGCTATAAAGAGGACAAAGAACCAACCCCTCTAGGTTAGATTCAATTACTTTCTGATTTCAAGTAATCACATTCCTCATTGATCAAAACATTTCCAAGTCAAAGCATTCAGATTACATGAATTTTTTCCCCATATTTTCATGGCTAATTATAACAAACAGTGTGACAGTAGAAACAAGTGAAAAATGGAGATGCCAATCATATTAGGCCGGGGCAACTCTTCTATTCTATTATCTATTCAAGAAGGGCCAAATCTATCATATTTCTCATACTATATATAAATTGAATTAATTTTATTTTTGGTCTTGAATTTATAAGTAGTATAGTGGTCCATTTTTATTTTCAAAACATCTTTATTTGATCATAGTAATATTGTGACATGACCATTTTTATCATCTATTAACAAAACAGTTTAAATGCCATTACATACAAAGACATTTTGGTCATCAATTATGAATTTTTTCAAAAAAAAAAATAAAAAAAAAATATAACGGGCCAACACACTTTGTGTTAAAAAGATTGAAAATTTCTTGTATTTAACGGCATTTCAACGATTTTGTTGATGGATGACAAACAATGATAATACCACAATAATACTATAACCAAAGAGAATGTTCGGATAAAAAGAGACTAAAATTGAATTGTCACTTATAAATTTAGAACAAAAAATGAAATTAATTATAAATACGGTGATATGGCCGTTTTGTGGATGAAGAGCAGGGCCGTATTTTAAGTTTTGGTGGCCCTGTTCTAGTAAATAAATGTGGCCCTACCAAAATCATAATTTTTAAAACTAATACATGCAAGTTTCGAACCTTTGACCTCCAAGTTAAAATACAATAAATACACATTCTTACCATCTCTTCATGAAACCTTTAAAGTTTAATTGAAAACTTTTTAATTTTTATTTTTAAACTAGCTAGGTAAAAATTAAATATTGAACCTCTAAAATTTGGGGCCCCTCTAAAATTGGGGGCCCTGTGCGGTAGCCCAGCTTGCACAGCCTAAAATCCGGCCTGATGAAGAGGAAGATTATGACTACAAGTTACAATAATTGAAAAAAGTAAGGTGTTACTCCGTATAATTTAAGAGGATTCCTATGGTGGCCGGCCTCACTCAATGCAGATTGAAACTCAGGAAATAAGTAAAAGGTTGAAACTTGTAGAAATTACAATCACATATTTACATGGTGATGATGAAATATTTAAGCCTCATCTGGATGGTTGGTGCGACTCCACCAGTATGGACCAAAGCACATGAACATCTTCGTATGGACAGGACTTGACATCCTCATATAGGATATATATCCCTCTTCCTGCACAAGAGGATGACAATATAATGATATGATGTCAAGTAACAAATTAGATTTGTTGAGTTTGTCTCATATAAGGAACTAATATGAATTTGTCTAAATAAGAGTGCAGCTGATTGAATGGTACAAGGATAGATGCCTATCATCACAATTAATAAAAGAATATATATATATATATATATATATATATATAGTTACACTTCCCTGACCGTAAACACATTATCAAAGTACATTACTTTTCACATTCTGTCATTATTATTGTTGCTTGTTCTTGTAAATCTCAACAAAATTGTATCAGGTGTTTGTGGGTGTGAAAGAGTAAAAGAGTGAAAGAGAGGAGTGCTTGGCTAATATGAGTACTTAAATTGGCTTCTAGGACATACATAGAATGGAAGGGATTGAATTACTTACTCTTATTATGAGGTGAGTGCAGATGGATCCAAAGCTTGTTTAATGGAGAGAGGAGAGAATGCAGCCACCCCATATGGAGAATTGAAGCAGTCGGTGTAGCTCATGTTGGGTGAGAAGAGAAATAAGAGAGAGAGAGAGAGAGAGAGAGAGCTTGCTTAGATAGTGGTGAAGTTTAGGTCACAGCCCTCAAAAAACATATGTTTCCCTTGCAGCAAAGTCATGCGATTTCACCTTTTATCTTGGTATAATGTCTCCATTATAGCTTTTATACTTGTAGCAGAAGCTAGAAGGAGCCACTTTACCAATCTGTGGCCTGCACTTCTCATACTTCCAAGAACCTTCCAACACGCGCACAAATATAACCTGTTGGGCTGTTGGTGATCAATAAGTCGATATATAAAATGGAATTTAATTTAGAAAATTAATTTCAACTAAAATTTTGGTACCAAACCAAAATAATAAGAGATTTAATTTATATATATATATATATATATATATATATATATATAAACTCTCACCAAACTTTGCATGAAACCAAGAAATATTTATATAAAATAAAATATATAAATAACAAGAAGAGGATTTTTTCAACCCTGAGGTTAAAACCCAACGAGAAGAAAGAGAAATCCGAGTCGTATGTACTCACACTCTCCCCTTAAAATCGAATCGCTACCTTCCAAGGGTGTTAGGAGCGTTATAACGTTAGTCTCCCATGATAAAACAGATTACGACTTTAGTATTTGAACACTCAAACATAAAGTCTCAAACACTAAAGTCCGGCGAACTAAAACCAAGATCAAGCACTCCGTACAATTTACGAAAATGTTGGTAGAGATTTTTCTTGTAAGAAAAGAGTTGAAAGAGGAAGGAAGAAAACTTCATTTTTTAGAGTTCAAAATCAACAACTTAAACACCTGCCACCAACAAGGCTATTTGTAGAAGATGATGGATTTAATAGCATTAAATCATGACATTAACAACTGAAATAAATTCAGTTTCGTAATTGTTAGCAATATTATTATTATTATTATTGTTATTATATCTTTATTTAGTATTGTAATAGGTTAGTATTCTATGACTACCCTATTAGATAGGATTACTTTACGTTAGTTGTTTAGCTTTTAGAATTGTAACTCCTATCTTATTGGTTTTGAACTGAAATCACTTATCTCATTTGATATCAGATAAGCCTAGGTAGATTCTCTCTCCTTTGCATCCCACCACAACCGCCGATCCCACACCCTCTCTCCCTTACTCAAACGCCGGGTAACCACCTCTCCCAGCCATGTCTACCAACTCGTCCGAGTGGACTGTCACGGCCGGCACCGGTACACCTCCGGCCACCACCCAAAATCCTTTGTCCGGTGCGCACCATTACGTTTCAATAAAACTTACGTACCTGGTGAGCTGTCGTAGGCTCCCAAATTAAAACCTTACAAACGTAGTAGCGGGAGTAAGGATCGATCCCACGAGGAGTAACTAGTTTAATGTATGTGTTCAAATTAAAGTAAGGGGGGGGGGGGGGGGGGGTTTGGTATGAAGATGATAATCAAAGAAAATAAACGAATAAAGCAATGAAAACAATATATTGAAAGCACCTATAATAGAAAATCTTGGTTAGTAAAGATCCACCACCGGAATTTAACACTGATCATTGATTCAAAAGGTAATTAGTATGCAATTGAATATTTGTCGTGAAATTATTTCATTTCTGTTTTCCCTTAGTTGTAGGTAAATAAAGCACAAGCGGTTTAATTACCCCTAACTACTAAATAACCTAAGACAAGCGCTATAGATTTAATTTAATAGCAGCAATAGGAACTAGGAAAACCAACAAACTAAATAACACAAGCACAAGCGGTTGCATTTAATTTAGGAAAATATTCTTCCTGAAATCAATTATCACTAAGCCGTCAATAATTAACCTCAGTTGCTACTGAATATTAGAATAATTTGTAGCACAACATTATCTAATATAGCAAATAATTATATCAAATAACTTAGAAGAATATTTAATACCCAAATGCATAAAAATTATATAATAAAATAAATAAATAATCTTACAGCATAATCAATTTCGGGGCTTCAATTCACTAAACCAAGCTAAAGAAATTAGCCACGAATGGACATTGACAACAACTTTAAAGAATAATCGAAAGGAAAAATGAATTAAAGAATGAACGTTTTAGAATAGAAATCTTCCACTATTTATACACTTTCCAAAATAAACCTAAACTATTTCCTACCACTCAATTTCCTACTTTCACGCATTTGAAGATGTCTACAGCCACATGCCATTACCTCTTGTTGCTAGAGCCGTCGAAACGGTCTCGCGGGGCGGGACGGGCCAAAAAAACACCAAAGCCCGTCCTCGTAGCGGGACGGGCTAAAAAGCCCACCTCTAAGCGGGCTTAAAATGCGGCCGGCCCGCCCCGCCAATCAATTTTTTCACTGTGTTATTATTATTATTATTATTTTTAAATCAATGTACAATATCCTTAAAAAAAATCACTGTAAAGACGTACAGTACACTAACACAGTAACACAGTAACACTACCTAGTATTGTTTTCCTATAAATCTATAATCTTGTAAGTTATAACACACTAACACTATTACACAAACCAAAATAACATGTATTAAATACAAAATATATATGTATTAGCAGGTCGCGGGCTAAACCCGTGACCCGCCCCGCCTGGACCTGTGATCCAGGCGTGACGGGCTAAAAAACCCGCCTCCTGGCGGATCAAAATTTGAAGAACCCGTCCCCTACCTACGGCGGTATGGGACGGATTGACCCGGCGGGTAAAACCCATTTTTGACAGCTCTACTTGTTGCGCATTTGAAGATGTCTACAGCCACATGCCTGTACAAAAGAAAAACAAGGAATGAGTCACTCTTGAGGTTTAATTCTTTGCATGCATGCTAGGAAAATTAGATTAAATTTACTTAATTTATTAAATTTATAATGCATATACATATTCACTAGTACGTACGTAGTATATATGTATATTAGAATGTATATTAATATGTATTCTATATATTATATATTATATATTATTATATATAAAAAGAACTAATTATTAGATAATATTAAATAACTAATGTAAAAATATTATAAAAATGTACCTAAAATATGAGTGTAAAATATGCCCATCAAATTCCCCCACACTAAAACATTTGCTTGTCCCCAAGCAAAAATATTATTTGCGAAGTAAATGGAAATGAAATTCCTAAAACTCATAATATATCATGAACAATAATCTGAAGTAACCTGCAATTAATAAGTTAGCACCCCTGTCTGAAAATTGATAGAGCTAAATAAGTAAGCGCTCACAGGAATATCACTCATCACTCAAGTGTTTGATGGGTATAAATTTCACTCAAGTTCATTCCTATAAAATTGCTCTACCATAGGCTTGCATATCTTCTCAATTACCACTACAAGAGTCATGCATGACACAAATCATAAGGACTTTTCACAGGTTGTAATGGGGCTAGGGTTAAGGTAGGGAACATTTTTGGAAAGTAGCTTAAGTAAAAGCTTTCAAACTAGAGGAGCAAAATAAATACAATTAATCCAACACCCTCAATTTTTCATTCAAAGCATTTCCCATTGACACTTCAACTATCATTCCAGAAAATAAAGACTTCCTCAATATTCCCTTGCATAATTTATTTGGACATAACTTCAACTCAAAATTGCTGATTGTTTCTCATTTTTCCCATAAATTTTCAGCAACATTTTTTTTTTTCGAACATATATTCTCCATTTTTTTTCATTTCATTCTTTCAAATTTCCATACTTTTTTTTTTGAATCATGAACTGTCTTTGTTTTCTTTTTCATAGAAGACCAACGACAAATTGGCAATGAAGATACAACCCGCCTCACTCTCAATCATATTAACAAAAGTAAGTGATCTCCCCCCACACTTATTCTTCACAAACTCATGTAGATTTCAAGCATAATCCAAAATTTGCTCCACTAGTTATTCAGCTGGGTGAAGATATTATTTTTAGATATAAAAGGTTTGTAATGTGGTTCAAAATAAAGAAAAGAATGGCCATAAAGCTCAAAGTGGTTAACAAGGGGAAATAAATCATAGGACAAACCGGTTATTTGGCTAGTGAGGCTCAAGATCAAATAATGGCCTTAATCACACTTGAATCATGCATGGTCTAATTAGCTTTAAAAGAGAATCAAGGCAAGTTCTAGAGAAACAAAATTATGAAAGAAATCGCATAATATAATAGAAAGAAAATAAGACCGAAGTGTCAGTCAATGGCTCAAAACACTCACAGGTTTATTGCTTACTTATATAGCCATTAAATATCAAACGGGAAATGCTAACAAACTAATCACAATTTGCCAAATTATTTATTCAATCATGTTATGAATTCCAAGAAAGGAAAAATAAAATAATTTTTGAAAAAAAAAAGAATAATTTTTGAAAATAATACTTATTTTGCATAAAATACTAGTAAAATTTTTGAAAATTTTGACATATGCAAACAAATAATAAAACTAATTTCCCTCCCCCACACTTATTATCAACATTGTCCCCAATGTTGAACAAAAAAGCACAGAAAAAGGGTTATTGAATGAGAAAAGGGAATAAAAGAAAAAGAATGGAAGAAACACACCTTAGGTTGCCTCCCAAGCAGTGCCTTTGTTTATCGTCGTTGGCTCGACTTATGATATTTCTTTAAATTTCCATCGTCTTTTTGAGTACCTTCGATGATTATGAGTATTCAAAGAAACAGTCCCTTCATGCAGATTAGTACTCAAAGATGATTTATTATTTCTTTCTTATTCATTCGAAGCAATTTCATCAAATGTAACAAAGTTCAAAGAATCAACAAAAATTGCAAAATTATCATCACTAGGAGATTTCATGGTATCATAAATATTAAAAGTCACAAGTTTACCATTAGACTCCATAGTAAGCATACCACTATGAATATCAATTTTTGTTTTTGCGGTTTTTAAGAATGGCCTTCCTAACAAAATATGATTATTATTTTCCATATCAACATAAAAATCAGCAGGAAAAACCAAGTTATCAACTTCAACAATCAAATCCTCAATTACACCCCTAGGATATGTAGTAGATCCATCAGCCAATTGAATTATTATACTAGATTTATTCAGGGGTCCAAGATTTAAAGAAGCATAAACAGAATATGGCATGAAATTAATAGAAGCTCCTAAATCTAACATAACATTTTCAAATTTCACCCCACTT